TCAGCATTTTGGCTCAGAGTATATTCTAGAACACTGAACAACAAAGGAATAGAAGGATGGGAGGCAGTATTCACAGAAGAACAGAACAATATTCACACACAGCCTCCACCCCTAGCCCATCTGACTCCATTTAGTCCCCTCCTCTGGGAGGAGGCTGAGGTCTGGGAATAAAATCAGAGCAGACACCAGAGGAGCCCAGCTTGGCAGCAGCTTCAGAGACAAACCTCCTCTCCAGAACAAGAGCCTAGCCCACAGCAGAGACCATGGAACTCACCTCAGCCCCTCTCCACAAAGAGCAGGTCTCCTGGAGAGGACTCCTGCTCACAGGTGAGGAGACATTCCTCGGGAGTAGAGAGTTGGACAGTTCATAGACTGGATGGGTCTTCTGGGAGAGGGAAAGAGCCTGAGAAATGACATCTGGCTCTGCTTGAGCCTGAGACCATCAGGAAGCTCACAGTGGATGGGAATTGGGAAGTGGGGAGGAAAAACTCAGTTGCTCCCCATTGTAGATTTATCAGCACTGGCCACTGTATCCTGAAGCCTCAAGTTGACAACTCCATCAGGGTGATTCTCCAAGTAAAACTCAAGTGGGCAAGTAAACAACATCATTATGTAGGACCCTGAGAAATCTGCAAATAAACCCCAGGCTCTCGGACACTCATTTGCTCACAGGTATCTGAGCCTGTTTGAGGTACAGAGGTTTAAACCAAAATCAAACTAGTCCTCCTCACAAAGCCCTGCTACTATTTGGCAGGAAGACAGAGCAGCAAGGAAATCGAGAAGGTGGGCCCCGGGGGTTGACAAGCACTTCAGAAGAAACAGAGCAGGGACAGGTCAGAAAATGAAGGAGGAGGAGTTCAGACAAGACATGCCTACACTCACCATAGATTCTGAGTATGAGTAGGGATCTGAGGGCAGTGAGGGGTGAGCTGTGTAGACACTATGAAGCCAGTTTCATAAAGTGAAAAGAAACAGGGATACTAATGAATGGGGGTGATGCTGCTGACCTCCCCACAACAGGACACACACACCAAGGCTGAGAGTTAAACACATTTCAAATTTCTACCAAAAGCAATTGTCCTAATATTGATAGATTTTTTTCTCTCTTCCCTCTTAGTCACTCTTTTAACCTACTGGACCTCTCCCACAGCTGCCCAGCAATTCAGTCTTGTAGCAGTTCCACCTAATGCTGCTGTAGGGACTAACGTTTTACTAAATGTCATAAATATGCCGGACTATGAGGTCTGTAACTGGTACGAGAATGAAAAATTTAACATGCTCTCAATGGGCAGCAGTGGTGAAGATAGACCTGCTACACCTGGCGTTGGATACGTAGATAAAGTGGACATGTATAGAAACTGCTCCATAGTCATCAAGAATGTCAATAAGAATGATTCAGGAATTTACAAGATAAAATTCAGGAAAAGGAATTTTGCGCCACTTATAGAGAGCGTGGAGTTTCATGTATACTGTAAGTAATTCTCTGTAACCTCTGGGTCATGGGTGGAACTAATCAGACCTCACATATAGGGTTGTCATTCCTGGATGACTCTGTGTTATGGTCCCCACATTGTGATAAAAACATTTAGTAAAGGACACACAGTAGAGAAAAAGTAGAGGCAATAAATCAGGATGCCTCATTTGAATTCACCCTCGGGGAAGAGGCGGTGAGGTAACTGAGCTCAGGCATGTTAGACTCTGCCCAGGGTCTTAGGTGCTCATCATGACCATGGCTTTGAGGAAGACCCTTCAGGACTCAGGCAGGGCCTGGCTGAGGAAACCATGAGAGCCTCACAGAGAGATGACCCCCCCCCCCCAATAGCTTTGCTCAAGAATTCCATGCCAGACTGGACCAGGAATCCCAAAAAGCTTGTAGACTGGGTTGGAATTTGATCTCCTGTTGGAGCTGACAGGGGAAAATGATGGATTGTAGACTGGGAGCCTGCTGACACTCAGCCTCTGAGAGCCATGTCTGAGGTAGGTCACCTGGGCATCTCCTCCTGAGACTCAGTGTGCTCAGCATATGTGGAAGGTAGGAAAGGCGATCAGCCAGCTCTTCTGACGGTCTTCTGAGACCTCCCAGGAAGGTCAAAAGCCCTAAAAGAAGAAAAAGTGTACAAATGGCAGCTCCTTGCCTCTCATGGTCCCGCCTAGGGATTATTTCCTGCAGGCAAACACTAATAGACACTGCTTGGTGGAAGATCAGGTTGTTGTTCACATTTAAGGTTAACTTTCAGGCATGGAAATGATCATTTACCATGTGTCCTATTATAGGGAAACTGAGACAGGAAACACAGTCACTGATTCAGGGTCACATAGGTTGTGAATTGCACAAGCTTTCTGTCCACAGCCACATCTCCAGCCTCCCCACATTGGAAATGGTACTAAGTGACCTTCACTCTTCTAGATCATTTTGTGGAATCAGAACTCCCTGATTCATGTCAATCAACATCAAACACCTGAGAAGAATGGACCACCTGTGGCCCAGCTGGACCTAAATGTCAGCCAGAACCTGAGCTGTGTGAGATCCCTCACAGGCTGTCAGGTTTCTCAGGGAAGCTCAAATGGAAGACTAATCATAACCTATCTGTAGGACAGCCCTGAACAGCAAAGTCTTGGAGCGCTCTGGTCTACACTCAGTAGGGGAAGTCAGTGTAGCTGGAGGGAATCACACCTTGTGTCTCAAGGCAGGCAATGGGTCCCCGAGGACCAGGAGATAAAATGAGTTCTCTGATTCCAAGTCTTGAGTCTGATCATCACCAAACACTGCAGCTCAGTTCACTCATGAGAAAGTCTTTTCTTCTCCCATACACAGCACAGGAGTCCCCATTATCTCTAAGCACTCAGCCACTCCATCTACCTGTAATTTGCTTCCTGCCTGATACTTCTTTGTCTTTCTTTTTGTTTTTAATGTTCTTTTTCATTTTTTTCATTTTTCTTTATTAAGAAATCTTTGAATCATTCCACATACCATCCACACATCCGCCCTTGTCCCTCCTCCTACCCTCCAGCCCTCTTTCCCAAGCCACCCTGCATCCCCACATCCCCCAAATCCAGGTCTTCGATGGGGAGTCAGCAGAGCCCAGCACACTGAGCCTAGCCTGCCTGATTCTTTAAGGATCTGGATGGCTGGAAGTTAAGAGACTTTCTCTGGTTGTAAGAGGCCTTTGCAAGAATCAGAAGTACCACACAGGGCAAGCATCCCTCTGTGGTTAGCACAGCACCACTACCCAAGCCCAATATCAAAACCAACAAAGCCAATCCCACTGATAGTGAGGACTCAGTAGCATTAATGTGTGAGCCTAGGACTCAGAATACAGCCTACCTGTGGAGGATAAATGATCAAAGCCTCTCAGAAGAGGATAGGCTGAAACTCTCCGAGGACAACAGGACTCTCACTTTACTCAGTGTTGTGAGGACTGAAACAGGACCTTATGAATGTGAACCTGGAACCCAGTGAGGGACTCCCCAAGGACCCATTCACTCTTAACACTACTTTAAATATTTTGTTTCATCCTGGCCCCAACTGCCTAAATACAGAGGGCTAGAGCTACCATACTCAGTCCCAGTCCCCTTGCGTTTGTGACATAGACCTACCATATAGATACCTAGGCTGCCAGGGCATCCTGTCCCAGCCCAAGCTCATGTAGACAGGCACAGCATTGAGCTTAAATGGGCTCCAGAGACTTCTGCCTAGCGAGGCTCAGGGTGATGGAGACAGGGGACATGTCAGACTCAGTCTCAGTGCACACAAAAGTGTGCAGTGGGGATTTTGTGTGTTGTGCTTGAGAGAGATCAGGGCTTGTGCATGCTAAATGAGTACTCTTCTGCTAATCTGTACCCCAGCTCTGGGTAGGACCTGCTCAACTAAGGTTAAAGCACAGCTCAAAGAGATACTATGTCCTTTTAAAGAACATGATTTCCCCTTCCCTCTGCTGACATCACATGTGAATTCATTCTGTTTACTCCAGATGGTTCAGATGTCCTGATCATGTCCCCCTCAAATATTCATTTCCATTGAAGGACAAACCTTACATCTCCTGCCACTCAGATGCTAACCCACCTGCACAGTACTCTTCGTTTGTCAATGGAGAGCTCCAGTCATCCTCCCAAGAGTTCTATATTTCCAACATCAATACTAATAATAGTGGATCTTATACCTGCCTCGCATATAACTGTCACTGTCCTCAGTAAGACCAAGGTCAAGAACATTACAGTCTTTAGTAAGTGGATCTCTGAAATATCAGCACCAGGTTTGGAGTGGAGTCTTTTGGCTTTCTGGGTGCAGAAACTTTTAATTTCCAGCCCATGTCTATGGGAACAAGCAAAATTCAGTCTTCCCCAAGCCTCCTGCTCCATCCCTGTGTCTAATGGCCTCCTGGTTCTCTGATATCTGGCTGATAGGGATTGAGCTTGCAATGTGAGGAGGAGGTTCTTCGAGTCTTGGAAAGCCTTTGGTTTTGTGAGGGACTTTCCATGGTTAGGAGAGCCTCAAAGTCATGATTTCTTTCTCTACCTAACACAAGCTTTCCTGTCCTCTCCATTTTCATTTTATGACCTCCATGACCTACAAGGAACACCGAGGACTTTCAACTGTGCTCACCTTCTTATTCTCAAGTTGGAGGAGAATATCCCCCACAGATGGGGACTGGATCTCTGCTCCCAGCTCTGCTCCTCTCTCATTGATGGGGTGTCTGTCTCAGCTCTGACTCCATGGGATGGAAAGTGTGGGTGAAGAAGGTGTCTGGGGGCCATGTTCTGAGACAGGGCAAACCATGTCACTGACAGTTGATGATGATCTTTTGCTTACTCTTCTCAAGGTTCAAAAAACCAATGTCAGCTGAGTGTGGTGGCACATACCTTGATGCCAGCACTGAGTAGGGAGAACAGGTAGACAGTGTGAGTTTGAGGCCAGCCTGGTCTATGTAGCAAGATTCAAGCAATCTAGGACTGTACTCTGAGACCCTGTCTCAAAAATTATCAGTACTGAGGATTAGAATGTCAGGCTGTGGTAGGAACTGTGATTATTCACTTCTTCTCTGTAGTATTTAATTCATATCCGTGGGGCAGGAAATACAATTTTTTTCTACAAACAGAAATCCTTCAGTTAGGGATTTCTCCTTGTCCTGAGGTAGAGCCTTTAACACCTTTAAGATTAGCTGGACCATCTTAACCCCATGACAATTTATTTAATTAAAAATAAACATAACGCTATTCTATAAAAGAGGGACCTGACTGTTAACACTCACAGAAAGTGGGAGCAAGAATTCCCACAAAAAATTATTGGGAAATACATTCCCCCCACCATGAGATTTCTGGACAGGTGGGTTGAAGAGGCTCCCAGTTTGGAATCTATACAAATACCCCGAGTCAGTGTCACTGTGAGTGATCTTGATGGAGTAAGATTGAGCTCTCTTCTTGCAGACCACATCTTCAACCCAACGATGTGATCTTGCACAGGGCCACTTCATTCTATGGACCCTGGGAACAGTCTGAGATCTCTGAGCGTGACTGACTCTCAACTGGCCATATCCTTTCTTTATCCACAGATCCAGTGACTAAACCCTCCATCCAAGTCAACCAAACCATAGGCAACGACTTTGTCTCTGTGTTCCTGAATTGCCCGACGAATGACAATGATAACTCCATTCAGTGGTTCTTCAAAGGCCAGAGTATGAATAACACAAATAGGATGCGACTGGCCCAGAACAACAGAACCCTCGAAATAATCCCTGCCAGGAGGGAGGATTCCGGGGACTATCACTGTCATATATCTAATCCACTCGGTTCCATGAGAAGTGACCCCATCCAGCTGGACGTAATAGGTGAGTGACCTCTGTTCCCCTTTTACTCCATAGTGTTGGGGATGGGGGCAGTTTCTTTATCAACAGAATGCAGAATGGGTAAGAGTCACAGGGGGAAAAGCATGGTTCAAGTTACAAATACAGTCAGCTTGGTGATGGATGCATGTTAATCTCATGATAGCACATCAAGGAAGCTTAGCACCATTCTGCATGCCTTTTATCCCAGCACACCAGAGGCAGAGGCAGTTGGATCTCTATGAGTTCCCAACCACTATGGTCTTTGTAGCCAGTTTCAGGTTAGCCAGAGCTACATAGTGAGACCCTACTCAAAAAAGAGAGAGCACAAAACAGGAGGCATAGAAGTACAAGGCCACTCAACTGAATGGACCAGGCTCTGCTGACTCCCCATAGGAGACCTTGCCTTGGAGGAGGTGGGAATTGGAGGTGGATTGGAGGGGAATGCTTTGGGGTGGGAGGAGTCAGGACAGGGGAATCTGTGGTTGATATGTAAAATGAATAGAAAATCTCTGTATAAAAAAAAAGAAATACCAGGTTAGCCCAGATTACATTGTGAGATCCTGTCAATAATAACAATAAATGTCAATATAGCAAATACAAATGCAAAGTGATTAAGAGTTTAGTGTCTGAGTCAGAGACACACAGTCAACACTCAGAATGTAATAAAATATTCATGTTCCTGTACACCACCACAACCACCCCCCCACACACATTCAAAACTTCTTTAGATTATTTTCAATACCTAATATAAATACTGCATAGACACTGGTCTTATTGTGTTGAGTACAGGACAAGACAGGAGGAAACAATACATTTTTCAATGTAGACATGCTTTTCCAAGCAGTTTGTTTCCTTGGTTTTGATCCATAAATATAAAATCCATAGAAGAAAGGGCCTATAATGACTTTTTTACTACATTTGCATATTTTCATTTTGTATGCATGTCCCACACCAATGTGTGGGGTTCAGGGGACAGTTTGTGGATGTCAGTTCTCCAGGGACAGGGGATTGAACTTAGGTGGGTGAACCAGCTCTTTATCTGCTAAGCCATTTCACTGGCCCACATTTGTTTGTGCATTTATTTCTGTGTGACAGTTGGGGGTGTAGCTACAGCAGGCACTCTTCCCAACTGAGCCATCTTTGTGGCCCAGTTACTGAGTTTCTTATCTTCATGCTAACATTGACAGCATGACCTCCTTGCACAACGCTCTTTTTTCTGGTAACTCTGTGTGTGTGTGTGTGTGTGTGTGTGTGTGTGTGTGTGTGTGTGTGTGTATTTTATGAGACTAGAGAGATAGCTCAATATTTAAGAGCCCAAAAGCACTTCAAAGGACAGGAGTTCAATTCCCAGCACCCACATGACATCTTATTACTGTCTCTAACTCAAGTTCCCAGGAAATCAACACCCTCTTCTGTCTTCCTCATGTACAAAACATGCAAGTGGTATATAAGCAGCCAAAAGGCCCATATGATGCATCTGTCATCATAACAAAGACAACATTTGAAATCTAATTACAAGGTGCTCTAATCCTGTCTCTTAAAAGTCTGATGACTTTCAGCTCTGATCCATTTTAGGTCTTTGATCTATGTAGAGTTGATTTGTATGTTGTGAGATGAAGGCTTAACTTCATTCTTTTACCTGGATATCACATCTTCCAAACATCCCTTGCTTAACTGTTTATTCTTCCAACATTGTGCAGTCTTAGCAGCCTAATCAAAACTCATCTGGTCACAAAGGGTCAAATGGAAAGCAAGAATGCCTTCCAATTTCTGTAACTCACTAGGACAACTCTGTTTCACACCAATTAATTCAAAAGTGATAGCAGAAATGAATGTTTTTAACAAACATAAAAAGTGACAGATGAAATGCTGGATATGCCAACTGCTCAGATAAGACATACATTATAATATATTCGAAAAACTGTGCCCCATAAACACACATATTGATCATGTTAGCTAATCTTTAATTTATTCATGGACAGTGTGCATGAGCAATTCTGGGGTTCCCAATTCTATTTCAATGAACTGTATGTCTGCCTTTATGTCAGCAATAGACTATTTTGATTGTTGCAGCTTTGTACTAAAATTATGAAATCATGTAGGATGTCCTGCAATTTTATTCTTGTTTTTTTTCCAAGATACTTCTAAGGCCAGGTACGGTGGTGCTTGCCTCTAACCCCAGCTCTTGGGAGCAGAGATAGGTGGAACTCTGGGAGTTTGAGGCCAGCTTGATCTATATAGTGAGTTTCAGGACAGCTAGAATAGACTTTGCTATTTCTGTGCAAAATGCCACTAGGGTTTGGATCTGATGTGCATAGAACTGATAGACTACAT